AATAATTTTCCAGTTGCCCACCGATTTTCCAATAAGTTGAACGTTTATCCTACTTGACAAATGAACTGATCGCGTGGAAATTACCGTTCCGAACGGTTTTCATGTCTGTTGGAACAGTACTAAAGTAACCGAATCGGTTGACCGATGGTTAATGAAAATTCCGTTTACTTGGGAAACGCATCCCTCATCCGATGATACGACAATACGAAATTGTTACGATTGGTTAAATTTACGGCTTCTTATTGGTGAGAAAGTTCAGAAATTTTCTGATGTTTGGCATTTGCATGCATCCGACATCTAATGATAAGAATCGTTCATGGATAGTCGAAAATATTTGACTGCTCAGGCCATAAAGGTTATTGAAATATTTTTCTTTGTCCGTGAGCCAGTGAGCCTCATTTCATTCAATAAATACACCTTGTTGGCTTTTTTTTTACGCTGTGTATAGGGGTCCGAGCGCTCGGACCCATATCCTGGAGGATACGGGTCCGATCGCTCGATTCCATATTTTTAAAGATCCAGGTCCGACTGATCGGAATCTTAGAGTGTAGGATATATCTCCGAGCGCATACATATATTATTGAATATTGAACCTACATACTTGTTGAAGGTTACTTAAAATAATTAATAAGTTAGGTGTGAATAATTGAATAAATTTTTTGAGTATTGAAAGAAAACACAATCTCAAATAGGTATCTTTTCATAACTGTAGTACAATATTCTCATTAATGAACGCAAAATAAGAAAATCTAAAAATTATAAAATGGTAAATAATTGACTAATAGTAATTCTACTTCGAAATTACACTTATTGCAACTTCGAACAATTTTTGTAAGTTCAAACCTAAATTTAAAACTATGAAATTTTAAAAATTATAAGGTTTTCCGCACGCCACACAGGTATTTAATTGAATAATATTTTTGGTTTTTGTTAACTGTAACTACTATTTCTGTACATTTTTTCTTCACGTTTTCACTTTAAAGCCATTCTACATCTAGCTTTTCCATAATTCCCTGAAATGTTGTTTGTATTTTTCTACTGCATCTTCCAGTTCTGCAAAACCAAGATATCTTACAATAGCCGGTGAACTATTCTGAAAAACTCTCAAAATACCTCGAAAAAAAAGTAAAACAATAATATTAGCATTAGCTGACCTGTATCTGCAACCATCTGGTTCCTGTTAGTTTACCAAATGATGAAAAAAAAAAAAAATTAAACAGTATTATTCTAGGTTAGGTATAGGATGTCTTTGGGTATAAGCTGACTCTCGGACCTCTATCCTATCCTATGGCCTATTGCTAGAGAGCCGAGCGGTCGGATCTGTATCCTCCAGGATAGGGAGCCGAGCGCTCGGACCCCTATACACAGCCTTTTTTTTTTTATAGATATCTAACAAAACATGGAAAGTTAAAATTATACGTCAAACATGTCAAATCATACGGTATGAAAGTTAAAATTATTGTAACTTTATCCGACGTTGGAGAAAAGTTAAAAATATTCGGATAAAAAATGGCGGGAAACTGTTCAACCAATAAGAGCTTCGTTGTATCATCGTACCATCGTACGACGGTTGCATGAAAACCTACCCTTAGTGTAACCCCTTGAGTGGCCGAATTTACAGTCGCTACTTGTTCTTGAGGTTTCCTCAGATCTTAAGGAAACCTTGAACGTTTAGAATTGATATGACTAACTTGTCAAATAGTAGCAAGTGTCCATTTTAAACTCACCACCTCCAAGGAAGAGTCACGGAACAACTAAATTTGACACGGAATAAAGTCTGTTTTTTTGTTAAATATAATTCCCTAAGTCAAAAATTTAGTAGGTATGCTCGTGGGTGCTCCGCACCCACTGTTTACGTCTCGGGGCCCCCGAGCACCCACGTAGTCGGCGCCCCTGGGCCTCTGCATCCCAACCAACTAATCAACCAACGCTACAGATAGCTTCACACCATCTACAGAAATGCCATATTGACGGTAGAGCTAACAAACACCCATCTCATTCCAATCAAGAGGGTAGTGGATTTCACGCTGGCAATAAATGGAGGTTGTGCTCAAGAACTGATCGTCCTAGATAAGATAAATACGGGAAGACCCAAAGTGAAGACAAATAACGCTGAAGAAAAAAGGAGTTACCATGTGAAAACCAGCTGCGTCAAGTTAGCCCCCCACATTCGAATTTTCTAAAAAAATTGCAACCACTTACTGTGCTCGAAGTGTGCTCTACTGTGCCGTTGATATTTTGAACTGTGCCGTTTCGATAACAAAGTTTTAGAAAAAAATAGATGAGGGGCTATCTTGACGCTCAGCCCCCCCAAAATTTTGGAAATCAGTTAAAACCAAAAAGGATTCTTATCCAATTTGAAGTGTGTTAAACTGTGCTGTATCAGGTTTTTCTGAAAATTTCCATATTCGGTCATTTTCCGACAAAATCCTACTGGGGGGCTAACTTGACGCTCAGCCCCCCCAAGATTTTGGAAATCAGATTAAACAAAATTGAATTTTTATCCAATCTGAAGTGTGCTGAACTGTGCTGTATCAGGTTCTTCCGAAAATTTCTATATTCGGTCATTTTCCGACAAAATCCTACTGGGGTGATAACTTGACGCTCAGCCCCCCCAAAATTTCGAAAATCAGTTTGCACAAAATTGAATTATCATCCAATCTGAAGTGTGCTGAACTGTGCTGTACCAGGTTTTTCTCAAAATTTCCATATTCGGTCATTTTCCGACAAAAAACTAAGAGGGGGCTAAGTTGATGCCAAATTTTAGAAATCAGATCAAAGAAAAACGGACTCTTATTCTTATCAAATCTGGAGTGAGCTGAATTGTGCCTGATCAGGTTATTCCAAGTTTCCATGTTTGACCATTTCCCGATATAAGCCTAATGGATGGTATGTATGTAAATTCTCAGAGCTAAACGTCAAGTTAGTTAGTAGGATTTTGTCGGAAAATAACCGAATAAGTATGTAAATTTTGAGAAAACCTGATACAGCAGAGTTCAGTACACTTCAGATTGGATAAAAATACAATTTTGTTCAAACTGATTTTCGAAATTTTTGGGGGGCTGAGCGTCAAGTTACCTCCGCAGTAGGATTTTGTCGGAAAGTGACAGAATATGGAAATTTTGAGAAAAGCCTGATACAGCACAGTTCAGCACACTTCAGATTGGACAAGAATTCAATTTTGTTTAATCTGATTTCCAAAATTTTGGGGGGCTGAGCTTTAAATTGGCTCCCCGCTCCCCAGTATGATTATTTTGTCGGAAAATAACCGAATATGAAAATTTTGAGAAAAACCTGATTCAGCACAGTTCAGCACACTTCAGATTGGACAAGAATTCAATTTTGTTTAATCTGATTTCCAAAATTTTGGGGGGCTGAGCTTTAAATTGGCTCCCCGCTCCCCAGTATGATTATTTTGTCGGAAAATAACCGAATATGGAAATTTTGAGAAAAGCCTGATACAGCACAGTTCAGCACACTTCAGATTGGACAAGAATTCAATTTTGTTTAATCTGATTTCCAAAATTTTGGGGGGCTGAGCTTTAAATTGGCTCCCCGCTCCCCAGTATGATTATTTTGGCGGAAAATAACCGAATATGAAAATTTTGAGAAAAACGTGATTCAGCACAGTTCAGCACACTTCAGATTGGATAAAAATTCAATTTTGTTTAATCTGATTTCCAAAATTTTGAGGGGGCTGAGCGTCAAGTTAGCCCCCCAGTAGGATTTTTTCGGAAAATGACCGAATATGGAAATTTTCGGAAAAACCTGATATAGCACAGTTCAGCACACTTCAGATTGGATGAGAATTCAATTTTGTTTAATCTGATTTCCAAAATTTTGGGGGGGCTGAGCTTCAAGTTAGCCCCCCATTAGGATTTTGTCGGAAAATGACTGAATATGGAAATTTTGAGAAAAACCTGATACAGCACAGTTCAGCACACTGTAGATTGGATAAGAATTAACTTCTGTTTAATCTGATTTCCAAAATTTTGGGGGGGCTGAGCGTCAAGTTAGCCCCCCATTAGGATTTTGTCGGAAAATGACCGAATATGGAAATTTTGAGAAAAACCTGATACAACACAGTTCAGCACACTGTAGATTGGATAAGAATTACCTTCTGTTTAATCTGATTTCCAAAATTTTGGGGGTGCTGAGCGTCAAGTTAGCCCCCCATTAGGATTTTATCGGAAAATGACCGAATATGGAAATTTTGAGAAAAACCTGATACAGCTCAGTTCAGCACACTGTAGATTGGATAAGAATTAACTTCTGTTTAATCTGATTTCCAAAATTTTGGGGGGGCTGAGCGTCAAGTTAGCCCCCCAGTAGGATTTGGTCGGAAAATGGCCGAATATGGAAATTTTGAGAAAAACCTGATACGACACAGTTCAGCACACTTCGGATTGGATAAGAATTCTTTTTGGTTTCATCTGATTTCAAAAATTTTGGGGGAGCTGAGCGTCAAGTTAGCCCCTCATCTATTTTTTCCTATAACTTTGTTATCGAAACGACACAGTTCAAAATATCATCGGCACAGTAGAGCACACTTCGAGCACAGTAAGTGGTTGCAATTTTTTTAGAAAATTCGAATGTGGGGGGGCTAACTTGACGGAGCCGTGAAAACCTCTATTTGGGAAATGTCAGCGATAAAGCAACCAAACAGCAGAAATTTCACGAACAACAAAGCTAGCATGATTTTGGCAGGCTTTCATCGAGGCTGAAGAACCAAGCGATTCCACTTTATCTGCATGAGAAGCAGAGTTTTGAACCAATAATGATATATTATGGTAGATAGACATGGAAATTTATAAAGATCGATACCGACAAACTATCATGACCTGATAATAATTCTATTCTGTTTATGTTTTCATCTAAAATATCTACTAAAGTGTTCTATTGAAATTGCAAAAACTCTCACTGTTCACCTAACGATTTTAAATATACAATTTCTGTTCCAGAAGTGTAAGGAAAATCATTTGAACAAAATGTGTACTTACGAAAAGCTTTGTAGGCAAACTCGTCAGTAGTAACTCCAGTTATGAACGGTACCTTCTGGAATTCGCCATTTTTGATAAGAGTGATTGGATGAGCATGCAAAAATCGTGGTTGTCCAAAGTCTTTTTCCATGACTGGAGTCCAAATTAGTACTGGATCTGTTCCAAACTCCTGAAATAGAATAATAGTAAATTCTATGATTATTTTTTTGGTTTAAGTTGTTGGGTTCTCACCGCAAATTTAGGCAAAGATTGTCCCAAATCATTAGCAGGTTTAGTTTTCAAACACTTGAGTATATTTGCTGGAGTATCATCGGGACATCCCACGAATTTGGCTTGTCTTCTGGCTAAATCAAGCTGTTCGTGTCTAATTGGCCATTGAGCTGTTGGTGAACAGCTCATGGCTACAGCCTTGTGGAACAGACCTAATAATTGTTAAGTATAGTATTGAAGCTTATAAAATAACTAAATATGAGTATTTACCTGTTGACATAGGCGAGACCATATGCAATACGACACTTATTGCTCCAGCACTGTATCCCAAAATGGTAACAGAGTTAGAATCACCACCGAAAGCCTCAATATTTTTCTTGACCCATTTCAATACCTGCACTTGATCTTTAAGTCCATTGTTACCAGTCGCTTCCTTTTCACCTGTAGCCAAGAATCCTAAACTTCCCAATCGGTAGTTGAACGTAACTAACACTATATCCTGATCCATAAAATATTGAGGTCCAGCCCAATAACTTGCTGATCCTACACTGTAAAAACCACCAGCATGAATGTGGACTATGACTGGCCTTTTTACATTTTTGTCGCTGCCTTTTGGTAGCTAAAAATTTAGTAAAGATAAAACAACATTATTTGTAACAAAGCTCATTAAATTACCTACCTTGGTAGTGTAAACATTGAGATAAAGACAGTCTTCTGAAGTTGGATCAGTAGTGGGTTGAGGACACATTGGACGATCAGCAGTGGCATTATAAACACCATCGTATTTTTCTATAGGAACTGGAGGCTAAAAATTTCAAATAATTAATGAAAGTCTAATTATTATAACGTTAATATTTCTTACTTGGAATCGTAGCTCTTCTACAGGTGCTTTGGCATACCGAATGCCCCTAAACGAGTAAATGGGTTTTCCTAATCTAGATTGGATCACAGAGCCTTGTATTTGCCCCATGGGGGTAGCGACTATCAGGGGTTCTCCATCTTTGGGTGTGGCGTTGCTGTCCGGTTCTGGATAAGCCAGAGCCAGGGCCAAGATTGTGGCTAATAACGTTGAGGTCCGGTACATCCTGGAACGAATATTTGTTAATTTTTTCTGTTTCTGACTGGTTCGAAAAGCTTTTGATTATTTATTTGACGAAATTTACTGATGCAAAAAAAAAAACCTATTTGAAAAATAATAGTTGATATGAGATCCATCATGGAAAGAATACGCACGAAGTCAATTACGGAAATATAGTCTGGTTAGCCAAACGGCGAACTGCAAGAGAATTTGCTGCTTTGCCAAACTTAACGGAAACAATAATAAACAAGTTGCTTTCATATTTTTTTTGCAATATATAGGTATATATGTGGACCTTGGACTGTATTTTTAAAAGTTATCAAAAATCGATAAATGGCAAGACCAATAAAGGACTTACCCATGGGCGCCGGTAGCAGGGTGCAAGGGGGTGCACTTGCACCCCCCTGTCAGAAATACCTACATTGAAAAAATTATTTTTTATTTCATATATTTTTTTTTTAAATAAGAATGTAGAATAGCGGAAATTTCGAGTATACTTAATTTCTAGTTCATTGATATAATTTTTTTTAATTTCTACTATTTGATAGCCCGAAAAAAGTAATAAATTGCGAGAAGCCCATCCCATACTTTCAATAAATAAAAAAGATGGAAAGACAAGATTTGTGTACGGAAATTTAAATTGAAATAGTATAGTCAGTTACAGTTGGTTGTTTGGTAGAGATCAAATCCCTTGGCCCTTAACAATATTTTTAATTAGTGGTGGGTAAGAAAATACCAATCACCTAGATTTTTATTTTTTTTTTGAAAGCTCAAAATAACCATTTTTGGGCGTGGAATACTGAAAAATTTTCGCGCAATATAACAATCCACGCGCCGCCACTGCCTCTATGCACCTTCTCTGAAACTAATCCTGGATCCTGGCCTGGCGGCGCCCATAGACTTACCCCGAAATTGCGCGGGTTTTAAACACTAAAAATAATTGATTCTGGTTTGATTGCCTGCAAAAATCGTTCTCTCTTTTCGGACAGCGATAGCACATATTATATTTTTGCTATTGAATATCTGTCCTCCTTCCAGTCCTTTCAATTAAGAGCGCACGCTTGCTCTCTTTTACGGTACTGCGTGAGAGTCTATGAAAATGCAATTCTCACGCGCAATTAATTATTGAAATTTAAACTTTGAATTCAAGACATATATACAAGTTGCGTTTAAATTACCCAAAATTACAATACAACAAAAGTAAGTCCCAAATATAAATAGAAAAGAATCCAGCAACATTGCGAAATGATGGGATGAGGAGAGGCGTGATTATTCAGAGGCATGACTCTATTGGTTAGAGGTTGATCGACAGCACAGTGGCGTGGTTATTGGTTAAACTATAAAGACTCTTTTTCACATTCACAACTAATACACAGATCGAAAAAAAAAACAAAAGCAAAGAACAAGAATTAAATATTTAGAGTAGGCATTTGATGACGCTGGATTTGAAAAATTGTCTTAAAATATAGCTGAAACGATCGGAACAATATAAAGAAAACAGATTTTTATTAATTTTTTTTCATTCATTTATTTTTCGTTGGCATATTTCCGCGACCAAGGCCAAACTCTTACGCCAGAGAATTTGTCACATCCCATTTGGAAACTTTGGCCGAACCCATCTTTGTGGATGGTATGGATATGGTCTGGATCTTTCTCGTGTATCACATTACTGATATACGGGACCAACAGTTTTACATCGCCGCCCGAAAGATGGCGTTCTTGCTAATACCAAATTCCAAATATTAACATCGACGTTGACCGAGCCAGGGATTAGGCCACAACGCCGATTAAAACAGATTTTGAAATATATGTGATTATATCAGATGGTTTATCCAAATAGGAGATGGTGTTTATCCATTTTTTGACCAACATCTATTATATCAGGCTCCGCTAAAATCCTAAAATTATCAAGTTTAAAGTTGTCATTTTTTAATGGGTTTAATATCGTAATTTGGAAACTCTTCATAATATCCAGTCCTATTGGAATAAAATAACAATAGATTCTTATCTGCTGGCAATTTTTACTAGCTAGCTTATCAGACGGTGAGACAGGAACTGTTTAGCGGAGTCATATAAGTGTATACCTATCTCTTTAGGTCCGTAGTTATTAAAGGGTGATCCAATTAGTGCTTTATTATTTTGAAATGAAATAAAACACAGACATTGCTGCGCTGTCAAAATGTTTTCATGTCATTCGAAAGACCAACCAATTACAATTATGTTTAAAAATAATATCGGTGAAATGACCTAAACGATTTGTTCTTGGATCATCTAGCAATGTAAACTCATTTTCCAGTTACCTCAGGACATTACGGATTGTTTATTCACTGGGTCGATCATGGGAACTATAAAGTGCACTTAATCCGCGCTAAGTTGCCTTCATAGAGCTTTGGTATTGATAATAAATTTTAATAATTTCGCAACGTTGCTGTGGTGTTGAAATGTTCCACTTTGTTTTGTAATAAACCAATCTAAAAAACTACCAAATATATATACAGTGAGGGGCAAGCTACTAGGTATATAGGATGTAACCTGACGAATTTGCAGGCGTCCGCATGTCAGAAAATGACAAATCGATTTAGCGCTAACCTGGCGACAACCAAGTAAAAAGTTTCTAGGGTTGTTAATAATTTTCAAAAATACGGTTGTGTTTCTCCATGAAACCAAACGAAATGACGTCCAGGATCAAGAAGCCAAATAAATTATGTTGTTGGTTGTTGGCATTAGTTAACAAAACTTCAACTATTTCGACTCGTGCGCTTGCGCAGGATATTGACTCAAGTACAAGGACGGTTAGGAGCCACAGAAAAAAAAAAGTATCGTTCGTACAAAGTAAGAAGCTCCCAAAAAATTGATCCTGAGGCGAATGGATTTTTGTGAAACTGTCATTAATAAGGCAAATGAAAATCAAGATTTTCTTAGAAAAATTGTCTTTACAGATGAGTCGACATTTTAACTCCATGGTCGACATAATCCTAGTCACACCCGTTATTGGTCTAAGGAGAATTTACACAGGTATTTTGAGCTTAGAGCCCAGCGTCGTCAAAAGGTAACTGTCTGGAGCGGTTTTTGTGGATAACATATTATTGGGACGTACTTCATGGACGCTAACTTAACTGGTCCAAAATATTTGGATCATTTGCAACGGGCCAACGGCAGATAATTCCAGAAATTGAAAGATTATCTGGTCCTATAGATTTAATGAAATATGGTATCAATAAGATGGATGTCCAGCCCATAATACGGGTTTCATTCTGGACCATTTGAATAATACTTTTCCGAACCGTCTCATTGCTGGGTCGAGAGCTACAATACTGTGACGCTCTCCCGATCTTGCACCCAACGATTATTTTCTCTGGGGTTATTGCAACTCAAAAATGTATGGTTTTCAGGAGAATCGCGCCGTGAACCTTGAGCAGCTGCGTTTCAAAATTCGAGAAATATATCTAACTGTCACCCCTGTGATGCTAAATAATATTCGTAGAGCCTTCTATGATCGTTTAGGTCATTGTTTAGTTCAAGAAGGTGGACTGGGACTGTTTGAACATTTGCTACATTGTAGTGCAAATGGTAATCGAGCCAGGTTTTTGGGGTCAAAACTAGAATTTTTGTTTTTATTTTACCTAATTTTTTTTCTATTTTTTATGTTGAATATATTTTTAGTTTTTCCTGGATGGCTTTTTTAAAATACATGTTTTTTTTCCATAGATTATTCTTTCGGTTCCAAAAAAAATCTATCTATACACGCCGTTTAATAATTATAAGTACCTAAGTGAAGCTCGACGATACATCTAAAAGCACGGTCTAGATGCTACGTTTTGCATCAAGTTTTGTCTGCACAGTTCAACACGTGATCAGGTATCAGTAACGTAACGTCTGGACCGGGCTTAAGTCTGTAAAATCATAAAACGTACTGATGTGAACCATGGTTTATGAACGTCAAAGTCATCGAAAAAACGACAGCGCACCGACAGCGACAGGTGTTCAGACGGCTGCGGACGATCGTAAATTCGTCAAGTTGGATCCTATATACCTAGTAGCCTGCCCCTTACTGTATATACAGTGAGGGGCAAGCTACTAGGTATATAGGATGTAACCTGACGAATTTGCAGGCGTCCACATGTCAGAAAATGACAAATCGATTTAGCGCTAACCTGGCGACAACCCGCAGGTAAAAAGTTTCTAGGGTTGTTAATAATTTTCAAAAATACGGTTGCATTTCTCCCCGAAACCATTAACGAACTGACGTCCAGGAAAATAATGATGATCAAGAAGCCAAATAAATTATTTGTTGTTAATTGTTGGCATTAGTTAACGAAACTCCAACTATTTCGACTCATGCGCTTGTGCACGAGTTTGACTCAAGTACAAGGACGGTGAGGAGCCACAGAAAAAAAAGTATCGTTCGTACAAAATACGAAACTCCCAAAAAATTGATCCTCAGGACAACATCAAGCGAATCGAGTTTTGTGAAACTGTCATTAATAAGGCAAATGAAAATCAAGATTTTCTTAGAAAAATTGTCTTTACAGATGAGTCGACATTTCAACTCCATGGTCGACATAATCCTAGTCACATCCGTTATTGGTCTAAGGAGAATTTACACAGGTATTTTGAACTTAGAGCGCATACTCGTCAAAACGTAACTGTCTGGAGCGGTTTGTATGGAGAACATATTATTGGGCCGTACTTCATGGACGCTAAGTTAACTGCTCCAAAATATTTGGATCTTCTGCAATGGGCCAACGGCAGATAATTCCAGAAATTGAAAGGTTATCTGGTCCTGGATTTAATGAAATATGTTTTCAACAAGATGGATGTCCAGCCCATAATACGGGTTTCATTCTGGACCATTTGAATAATACTTTTCCAAACCGTCTCATTGCTGAGTCGAGAGCTACAGTACTTTGACGCTCTCCCGATCTTGCACCCAACGATTATTTTCTCTGCGGTTATTGCAAATCAAAAATGTATAGTTTTCAGGAGAATCGCGCCGTGAACCTTGAG